TTTTGTTATCGAGCTGCGACTCGATTAGGTTTAAGGTTTTTATGTTGATAACTCGCTGATGGCCCTGCGGCCAAAGCCTTTATAAACCCTTGTAATGATCGCAACGCTCTTACGCGAAATCGAAATAAGATCTACTTTTTCTATAAGTTCGTTTTATTACGTTTTTCATATTTTTCCGCATTTATTTGGTTACTTGTCGTTGGTTTTCCCAGAGATCCGGTTCCTCTGGAAAATTAGGGTTTTCCTATATTACTTTGCTTTTATCTTATGAATTAGTTAATATAGATAAGTAATTACTAACCATGTCCTGGCCATGTTGTTCGGCAAAGTTGTTGTCTTTATTTGCAGCTGGATACCTGGGACTTGGTTTCAGAACGTCTAATATCATACGAAATATTTAAAAGGCTAATATCATTATTGTTTGAAAAGACTAACAACAATTATTTTTTTAATAATAATAATTTATATAAAACATATCAGACAATCATATCCAACTAACTACACAAACATTTAACATTGACTACCTTAAATAGGTTCATGTTTATAAGCTACTATGATATCCTTATTGACCTCATAAGATGCCACTCTACAAAAACGATAAACAAACAAATTTATTTCAATAATAATCGGATTTATAAAACAGTGGTTACCAATGCATATGGTCAAACAAGAAATCAACATACATGCATATTATAAATACGAATCATTTTCTAATTATATGGACAATCAATCGAAAACAGTGGCTACCAATAGCATATGGTCAAACAAGAAATCAACATACATATTCTAAATACTAATCATTCTCTAATTATATAGACAATCAAATGTCAGATTCTGATAGGGCATAAATGTTTTACAATCACTTACATGTCTTTTTCCACTCACTACGATTTTTTACAACCGAGTCTCACCTTCATGTTCTTCTTCCTTCACTCTTGATTTTGTATAATTCACTTCTGCCTACTGTCCCTCTGTTTCTACAGAGAGAATAGTTGCTTGTCACCACTAATACTTCATGTCTGAAAGCAAATAAGATATTTGACCCTAACTCGGATTAGTATTCATCTAACATATTAATTATAGAACAACTAGGGGCGGGCCGCGCTACGCGCGGCGAGTGGATTCGTTAATATTTAACATATTTTTTTATTTAGAAAATGTAATTATATATATTTTATAGAATATTATTTATGTAAAATCGCTTTTATATAAAATTTCAGTAAATTAAACCTCAAAATCGCTTCAGTTAAATAAATTGTGTGTCAAGTAAGTTTTTGAAGAGAGATGTATAATACTGTTTATGGTTTGTAAGAACGTTAAAGTGTGGAGAGACTATATATGTTAAGATTAATTATGTTTGATTTCGATCTTTATGACTGTATTAATATGTTGCGGCGTGTATCATATTATATTGGATATGAGGTGTATGTGGTATTTTCATTGTTGTATGTTAGTTTGATAATTCTAAATCCATAATTTGTTGGTTAATCGTGGTTTGCAATATTTTGGGATCAGAAAAATAGATTTGTGGTTTTCATAATGATCATTTCTTGCATTTCGTTACGGTTTATGTTACCGTAAATATGCTATTGAATAGCTGAATAAAATCATGAAAAATTGAATTGTTTACATTAGAAATTAACACTTAAATGAGTAGTTATAAAATTTCAGTTCAAAGTTTTCATGTTGTTTAAGGTGTTTTCTAGATGTAAAGAAGATACCTTTGATCCATAAGTAAGAGAAATTCATGGGTTCATCTCCTAGTGTGAAGTGTGAATATCTAAGTTCACAAACCAATAAAATTTCATTATTTCATATTTAGTATTTAAAAAAAAAACAAAATATTATCAAATTATACTACATTTTTAAAATTAAAAGATAAAAAATATAACAGTAGTTGCAAAGGAAAAATTTTTTTTAAAAAATATTAACCATCATCAAAACATTAAATTCTAAAATATAAACCATTGAGTAATCTTCAACCTTTGGATTAATCTTAAACTCTAAGATTTATGATTAATCCAAGGGTTTAGAGTTTACCCAAGGGTTTAGGATTTAGGGTTTAATGTTTTTCTGACGGTATTATAAATATTTTTTAAAAAGTCAAAATTTTATCCAAAAATTTATAGTTTATGATTTAAGATTTAATGTTTAGTGTTTTGGTAATAATATTAAAAAAAAAAAATTTCTTTTTGAAACTACTTTTTTATCTTTAAATTTTAAAAACATGATATAACTCGAAAATATATTGTTTCCATTTTTAAAAAGATACCTAGAGATTCATTCTAAAGAGTGAACCCAAGAATTACTCCATAGGTAATCTATGTCTTTCGAAGCTCCTTCTATTTGTTTTTCTATCATTCAAATAGTTTGGTTTCATCTTTCTATTAGTTTCTTAATTTTACAGTTTGATTTTAATATTTTGTAACTTTGTAACTGAATTAATAGTACTTTAATGCTTTATGTTAAATGTAGCTAACTCTTGTATTTAAAATAAGGTTATATTTTATGGAACCAAAAGATATACAAATATCAAGAAAGATGATAAAAATAAATATACTCTCTCTCTGTTTCATTTTGTTGTCGTTTTAGGTTTTTCCACATAGATTAAGAAAACATTATGAGTTTTACATAAATTCAAAATAAAAACACAATTGTTTATATACCTAACCACGTTTCAATCAATAGAAAAATTTATACTATTATTTGCGAAGTGATTTTTCGCAACGGAGCTTTCACGTTAAAAGTTAGAGTGGTTAATATCGATATTACCCTTAATGAATAAATATATAAATCAGCCAATAATAAAAACGAACTTAATATTTATTTGATTAGATTAATGATTTAAATTAATAATAATGATAAGAATTATCCATAATCTAAATATATATTTAAAAATAAAAAGATAATTTCTATATATATTGTGTTGTTATCCGGAAAATATATTTAATAAAAAATTAAGTAAAAACTTTAATTGTATATAATTGAAAATAAAAAATTTAAAAAAATTATAATAAGTAATTATTTTCAGTGATTTTTCGCAACGGAGCTCTCACGTTAAAAGTTAGAGTGGTTAATATCGATATTACCCTTAATAAATAAATATATAAATCAGCCAATAATAAAAACGAATTTAATATTTATTTCATTAGATAAATGATTTAAATTAATAATAATGATAAGAATTATCCATAATCTAAATATATATTTAAAAATAAAAAGATAATTCATATATATATTGTGTTTTTATCCGGAAAATATATTTAATAAAAAATTAAGTAAGAACTTTAATTGTATATAATTGAAAATACAAAATTTAAAAAAATTATAATACATAATTATTTTCAGTGATTTTTCGCAATGGAGCTCTCACGTTGAAAGTTAGAATGGTTAATATCGATATTACCCTTAATGAATAAATATATAAATCAACCAATAATAAAAAAAATTTAATATTTATTTGATTAGATAAATGATTTAAATTAAGAATAATGATAAGAATTATCCATAATCTAAATATATATTTAAAAATAAAAAGATAATTCCTATATATATTGTGTTGTTATCCGGAAAATATATTTAATAAAAAATTAAGTAAAAACTTTAATTGTATATAATTGAAAAGAATTTTTTTAAAAAAATTATAATACGTAATTATTTTCAGGGATTTTTCGCGACGGAGCTCTCACATTAAAAGTTAGAATGGTTAATATCGATATTACCCTTAATGAATAAATATATAAATCAGCCAATAATAAAAGCGAATTTAATATTTATTTGATTAGATAAATGATTTAAATTAATAATAATGATAAGAATTATCCATAATCTAAATATATATTTAAAAATAAAAAGATAATTTCTATATATATTGTGTTGTTATCCGGAAAATATATTTAATAAAAAATTAAGTAAAAACTTTAATGGTATATAATTGAAAATAAAATTTTTTAAAAAATTATAATACGTAATTATTTTCAATTAAAATAATATAATAATATAATATAATGATATATATATATATATATATATATATATATTTGTGAAGTTATTTTAGTCTCTGGACTCACACGTTATATTAAATTTATTTTTATATTTTTATATATAAGTAATCCTTAAACATGAATTTATCATAATAAAATAAAAAATCATTCAAAAACAAAAAAAAATGTATTTGACAAAAATAAATTTTAATTGTATTATTATCTAAATTAATATTATTCTTTTTGTAAGATCATATTTTGAATGTATATTTATCGATTCAATTTTTCAAATTGAAAGATATATTTCTATATTTCTATATTTTTATTAATTAAGAAGAAAGGAAATAGACTTTAGATTTTTTAAAGTTTAAAAGGTAGAAGTATATTTTTTAATTTGTGAATAAATTTATCATGTAAAAAAAATTAATGTTTTAGTTTAAATTTTTTGGATGCAAATATCATTTATTTTGATGATTTTTAAATAGATTTAAAGATAATTAAGCCCGCATGTGCGGGCAAAGCACCTAGTAAAAATATATAGAAAGTTAATAAATTTTACATCTAAATTATAAAATGATATTTATTTTAAAATAAAAAAATTCTCTAGCTATAAAGACATAGAGAGAGTATATTTTTCCACTTAAATGTAGCTAATTTTCTATATCGTGCATGATATGCTGTCAAGGGCCGTTTTTATTAATCTTGATTTGAATTGGCATATATCTATAATTATTATATTATCTGATATGAAATTATGATTAAACTATAAGGAAAATTTCAGTAAACCTAAATATCTACTTGTAATTCAATTAGTGGGATGGAACAATATTAAATTTAGAGAATTATATGACAATTTTGCAGGCAACTATTGTGAGTCATGATATTTGTAGGATTTGGTTTTATGTAAGGAGATAATATTTTTAACTTATTGTGAATTTAAAATTAGTTTATTGAAGTCGGATAACCATTTTGGCAGTAGTTAAGAAAAACATAGCAAACTACAGATGAGGATAGTTTTTAAAAAAAAAAACCAACATGCCTAAGCATTATACAAACGGAAAAAGTCTGACTCGAGAAAAACACTCCCATCATGTTTACTAATGCTTTTCGTGTCTTCTTGACCACCTTCGAAGTAGCTGAAAGGAGAGGCTTCTCAGTGGCAGGACCACTTGAAGATGTTTCTGCAGATGACTTTTCCACACACTTATTACCTTCTACGCCAACTTTAGGAAGGGTTGAGGTGTTCCAAGGCGTATCGTCTCCGTTATCATCGTCACCATCCTGATTAAAAGAACCACATATCATTACATGCATTCTACGGAAGAAGAAAATGAAATAAATGTGGCATACTACATCGATATATGATAAGTCAGGTAGTGGCAGACGGTCACACTCGTTCATGATGGTTGGCAGTGAAGTTGTACATGCTTATGCTGACCTGGGAGTTGTATGTCTTACCAACCATGTCCGCAATGAAAGGAGGTGGCTGAGTCTCCTCTGGGTTAACTCACTCTCCAGCATATGGTTTAAAGACATTTGACATAAGATCTGAAACCAAGTGAATGATGCTACTACGTACCAGTAGATGACCAGTTTCATAGGCGCGTATGTTATGTAGTTTCCTCATACTTCCATTGAAAGCCACAAATAGACCCTCATCCGTGTCAGCAGCAACGCTCACCTCCACACGGTACCTTGTAAAAAATTGAATGAAAACCATGTTGGGTGTATGTATGAATTTCAAAAAAAAAAAAAACCAATAAAAGGAGGAGCCAATATACCGGAGCACACCAACAGCGGTTGTGTTGTTGCAGGACACACAGGTAAAATATGAGACAGTTCTTTGGAGCTTCTTTGTGCACCTGGAGCGGGAGAAGTAACACCAGCCTTTGTCCATATTATTTCCAGTCACCTTTCCAGTGCCATGACAGGTTCTTTTCTTTGGGGACTGTCACTCACTGTACTTTCACAGCAGTTAGTTCACAAACAACCTCTGCAAGATGAGGGTCAGCATTACTATTAACCGGGTTCAGTGATAAGTATGAGATGAACAAAAAAAGAGATGATGTTATGCAGAGAAACGGTTAACGCATCAATTTTGGTTGAATCACTGAACAAAATCACCAGAGGAGAGTCGGAAACCTGTCGTTCTGATGGCACCGAGCCACCTCAAATCTGCTTAGTGTGAACACTGAACCAGCCTTGAGTAGTTGTCTAAAGCGAGGAGCCGGTGAACATTCACAGTGGAGCATGAGAGTAGCCTGAAACAATGGTGGGAAAAATCATCATGAACAAACGTTTCAAAAGTTGACTTCAGTGAAGATTATGAAATGAATAAAAAGTTCCATACTTGGTCATTTGAATTGATAAAAACAATATGATTGAGAGATCTAAGATCTGAGAAACCACAAACGTTTTTTTTTTCAACATTCAAATATATTAAACCAAAATAAAACAATAAAAAGTTAGATTATGTGATGAATAAAAAGTTCGATACTTGTTACCGGAACCGTTAAAAACACTATGATTATGAGTTTTTTAGATCTGAAAACTCTGAGCATCAAAGAGGAGCATGTCCACCCCATCAACTCCCCACCACGCTTGAAAGCCTCCCAGAATTTCAGCGGACCTCCACGGTGGATGAACATCGGCCGGCCTTAAGATCACGAAGAAGAACATATGTAGTTATCATTCTACTGATTTTTTTTTTGTTTGTAGTATCACAAATCATAAACTGTAAATATGATATTCTAGGGATAGAGGACTACCTATTTATAGGTCTGAAAGCACCGCCTTAAGCTTGGGTAACATTGAATGCGGCGTTATTGTTGATATGAGCCTTGATGGATTGAAGATGTATCTTACATGCAATAAATGTAGCTTCGAAAAGTTTGGGAGGATGGGAAAAAACGCGAAACGGTTGTATCGAAGCGTAAGTCAAAGTCTCTACACGATGATTCATCTCTTTCGACTTTCTAAATCTCCATTGTTGATTGAGATAGTGAAAAATCGAGGAAGACGAAGAAATCCTAATTTCAGAAATTGTCTATTGAGAAGAAGACTCTATGTTATTATTGGGCTAAATGCTAAATTTTCAGAATAACAAAATAACAGCCCAGCCCATTAAAAATAAACCAAATAAAAACGAAAACAACATACCTCTCGCCTATGGATGGCCACGTGTCACGCAGGGAGTCATTTATTTAGTGACGTGGAGGACTCAAGAGGGAATCAACAATTCTTTATAATAATAGATAACTTAACATGAGATTTCGATATTTGGTGGTTATAGCATTTAAAAAGATTTCTGCAAAAATGACTATCCGACTTCTATATTAACAATCATCTATGGTTTTAGCAGGAGCTTCTATAATTGGATTTTCAATCTTAAAATTTTACGATTATCCTTGACCATGTGAATTACCTAATCAATATGTATGAAAAAATTATTTCAAAGATATGAAAACAAAATCTCATGCGTTAAAGAACAAAAAATAAGAATCTAACCTGGAGAGATAACACTGATCCACTTACGCCCTTTGATATGAAGATGAAAATCATTAACGCATACCGGACAACCTTTTTTGTTTCATTATTATTAGAGATATATTGGGCTAAACCATGAACTCTGATATCATATTATTGATGGAACTAACTCACATCCAAAGCTAGTTCAAGAGTAGAGAATTACCCATACACTTATATATTGCCCAATGACATTTGAATTGTCCGATGTGGGACATTTAATAGCCTCTCTCAACATGTGGGTGTGAAATGGTCCAAAGGAAAACAGCATAAGCCCAACATCTTAGAAATACCACAGTAATACGGGACACTTTTACATGCTACATAGGTAGAAAACTGTTTATGTGAAAAAACATATGTTGTGGTAATAATTACAAGCCAGTGTCATTCTAGCATATTTACATTATTACTATATTTCTTTATGTGTTAGATTTGGATTAGGAAAAATTACATTATATGATATTAGTATTATGTTAAAGTTAATCACTGTATATATGAATTTATAGTCTTGTATCAAACAAAACACAATAATATATCTATTATATTCTACTTTACATGGTATCAAAGCAGTCAATTTTTAGGGTTCAAAATTAAAGTTTCTGCGAGTTTTAAGATCTGATGATTATGATCATCGTAGTGTTAGCGAGGTTGAATAAGATGGTGATAGCGCCGACGATGAAGACGCCGTGGTAACGTGAGTATGGTTGTTAGGGTTTGGTGTTTTAGTTATAACAAAATGTTATTAGCTTTGGTTTTCTATTTCTATTTAATCACGTGCAATAATTATAGTTTAAGTGTTGGCTAGTGCAAGAATTGTCGAGAGTTTCAATTATGTTTACGGAGTATGTTTTCTTTCCATGGGATCAGGGTTTTCAAAAGTTTACTTTTTTCTTGAGATTTATTCTATAGTTTAGAAATTTTCAAAAGTTGTTTTTCCATAGTTTGGAATTTGTCGGTTATAGTTTAACCATTACGGGGGAGTTCTAGTAGAACGATTTTAAGTCAACTTTTAGTCCGGTTTATGGACTGTCCAAGTTAAGGACGATTGTTTATGGAGCTGCAGTTACGTCCACGGGATATATTCCCATTGTCAATATCAAAGAAAATCTGAAGTTATCATCCTCCTTTTCGAAGTTGAAGTTTAGTCCTAAAGGAACCTAGTGATTTGTTTTCCTCGACATACGTGGTTTTGTGATTGCATATTTGTGTGTTACATCCCACGTTTATTGTGTGGGGGAGTATTAGAGATATATTGGGCCGCAAGATGTGTATCTTATGGACCAATATTATGAAGTTCGTGAAACCCAAGAAGACCCTCAATACTGAAGGAAAGACTTGAAAAGTAAGATAATGTCATTCTAGCATATTTAAATTATTATTATATTTCTATACGTGTTAGATTTGGATTAAGAAAGATTACATTATATGATATTAGCAATACGTTAAAGCTAATCACTATATATATATGAATCTATAGTCTTTTATCAAACACAACACAATAATATTTATTATATTCTACTTTACAATTATGAAAAAATTCGATTGATAATAAGAGATAACTAGATGATAATCCACGCCATACGTGGGGTGAGTTTTTTAAAAATATGTTGTATTTAAATACATATTTTGTTATACATAATCTTTTTTTACATTTGATTAGAGATGGACATTCGGATACCATTTGCGGTTAGGTTCTGTTTGGTTTAAATCTTTGTGGGTTTGCTTTCGAAAATCTTTACAAGCTCGGTTTAGGTTCTCATAACCCCATTAATTTTTTTAAAAAGTTTAAGGTTCATATATACTTTAAATTTCTCAAAATCTAAAACTAAAAAATAATAACATATAAATTTGAAAAATATATACCAAAATACTTAACATAAAATTGGTTTATCTTATATATTTGGACAAACAATCAATAAATTTTTCAAGTTTTTTTTTTTGGTATTTGGAGTATCATTTAGCTATTTTAAAAATGTACTCTTAAATATTTATAGATTTCAAAGTATTTTGGAAAATTTAAAAACTTCTCATGTATTTTACATGTTAAGTTTAAAAATAATTAATATTTTTACGTATATAAATCTGGTTCGAGTACTCTAAGATATCCAAAATATTTCGATTCTCTAGATATCAAAATTTTGAATCTGTTTGGATATTTGACCAATTTTGGTTAATGTTATGTACTACCTTTTGGATTAGATTTGGTTTGGTTATTTGGATTCAGATTTTTTACTCAATCCTACATTTTTTATTGTAACAAAGTTTTAAACGAAAAGGATGATGGTTCATATTTATTTTGGATATGCAACAATTTTTAAACCAAAATACACTTTATTATATACATGACCCATTTAGTTAATCATAAAAAATTGTTTACCACCCATTAAAAAACGATTGGCTGAACTAAAAAACGTTACCTTTAATCATAAAATTTTCAAAGTGAGATTTTTACCATTTTTAGTAAGTTATAGTCGTTTTAAAAAAAATCAAAATATAAAATATAAGAAAAATATAATTTTTATTATATGATTAATGTGATTGTTTAAATTATTTTAAGAATATAAAATTAAATAAAAAAGTAAAGAGGATAAAAATTGTTATCATATCTTTATTATTCATAATTATTAATTGTGATATATATGTTAATCATATTAGTTAATTTTGTAGCTTTTATTTAAGGAAAAACTAAAAATATAACATATAGTTAGTTGGATCAATAAATTTTTCTAAAAGTTCTGAAAATTATTTACATTATAATGTTTCAGGATTAATATATAGGGGATGATTAAGGTATACGAATTGAGATGGGAAATAACAGGTTCTGCCTCACCGACAGAAAAAGAAAAAAAATAAGAAGCTAATTTCTAGTTTTAATAAAAGTCGAGACTGTAACATACTGTTTCCCGGAAGAAATAGTTAGACAACCATATGGGTTTAGCCTCTCTTTTTTTTTGAGCAACTCATATGGGTTTAGCCTAATTTCTAGTTTTATTAGATAAGCCCATTTACTTACATATAAATATGTTAGCCATTTAATCTGAAAACTTATGCTAACTAGTTGCATACTCCCCGCGCAAGCGCGGAGCCGGAATCATTATGTTTGCGTATATTTTTTTCGATTTAGTGGTTTAGTGGATTCTTCTAATGACTCCAAATATTAATGAAATGGAAAGAATGTAGTAAGAGTGTAAAGTGAAAATATTGTATATCTAATGTGTTAAATGTTATTTATATGCGAAGTAAGGTTTATAGGAATAGTTAGGTTATAATATAAATTTTAGTGTGTAAAAGTAGGTGTCTATTTTTATTTTTTTTGCTGTAAATAGTTTTTATATCGTATGTCAAAACTTGATATAATTCTATATTTATAGTATTTATATTTGTATTAAACGATTTATCAATTTAAAAATAACCTTAATTAAGTTAATATTCATTGTTTAAGTTTTATTAGATAGGTTTTTATATATTTTTTTTGTAAGTTTGGATTTTGTTCATAAATGATGGGGCATTTATATCTACGGCGTCATCGAGGAATCCATTCGCCGAAGTCTAGAGTCGGTGGTGAGGAATGTTTTCAATGAAATTATAGTAGTTATTAAAATGTAAGAGAAATTACATATTCATTTAATAAATAACGAAAAATACTTAAACTTTGTTGTTTATTTTATTTTATTTCACATACAAATTTTTTGAAAATATATTAGGAATGAGTTAAATGTTATTTATATGCGAAGTAAGTTTATAAGAATAGTTAGGCTATAATATAGTTTTTAGTGTGTAAAAGTAGGTGTTTTGTTTTTGCTGTAAATAGTTTTTATATCGTAGGTCAAAACTTGATGTAATTCTATATTTATAGTATTTATATTTGTATTAAACTATTTATCAATTTGAAAATAACCTTAATTAAGTTAACATTCGTTGTTTAAGATTCATTAGATAGGTTTTTATATATGTTTTTTTTGTAAGTTTGAGTTTTGTTCATAAATGATGTGGCTTTTTTTTATGGTGTCATCGACTGTGGGAATCCATTCGCCGGAGTCTAAAATCGGTGGTGAGGAATGTTTTCAATGAAATTATAGTAGTTATTAAAATGTAAGAGAAATTACATATTCATTAAATAAAT